CAAAACTCTACCCAGGCCCTCAAAATCTTGTAGCAAACATCAAAACTGCCAGATATCAGCACTACAGAGCACAATTATCCACTGCAAAAAGTAGTATCAGACCTTGATCAGCAGTGGGCACATTCAGGCTAAAAATTGCTTACTCTTAAATATGAATTACCAGGTATCCATTGTGACAGAGTTGGTGCTGCCAAAACCATTCAGGACATCTTACCTGGGTGTCGGTCATCAAATGGGTCTGGATCCCCTTTACGGTATTCTTCAGTCTCCTTCTCAATCAGCTCGGACATTCTGCAGAAGGAATGACAACAAATGAGCAGAATTCATACTCAGTCTTCTCCTAGTACACAGCTCCTCACAATAGCCTATGTGTCAAAGTACTATAAAACAGCTCATCAGCTTTCATTTGAACGGTGTTCAGTGCCACCAGAGGATCTCAGACTGTTCACAACAGATAGATGAGAAAACAGACTTGGCTCTAATATCTTATGCCTCCCTGCCATGCTCCAAAACACACTGAACCCGCACCAACGTCCCAGTGATGTACAAGCATGACGTTCTGGAGGAGCCAATATCTTTTATTTACTCATGTCAGAGTCCTGGCGCTGTTCTACAACACATACTGTAGAGAACTAAAGTAAATAAAAGGGCTTCAGTAGTACTTTTCACCATCACATAGTCTTTCTTTCGCAGTAGAATAAGTCTTGAACAGGTGACTTAGTCCTCCTTCCTATTCAGTCTGTGCAGGGGCAGTCACTCAAACTGCAAACATAATTTTTTGTTATTTTTACCTATTAAATTTTAAGAATATTGTGTAACAATAAAAGTATTTCATATTTAATGAAGTCTTCTGTAATCTCTATTCATCTTATCCCAACAGCTCCATCAAAGCTCAACTTTTTAGCATGTGTCAGTTAACACAATGGATAGACAAGGAGAAACTCAGCCAGCTCCCTATTCATAGGCCTTCAAAATACCTTAAAATGCTCCTCCGTATCAGACAAAAATTGAAGGTTGTTTTGAAGTTATGTCTTCCCCTAAACTGAGAAGCAGCCTCAGCAGACACAAGAAATACTGTGCTCTAATTCATTTAGAATGAGCAGTAAGAGAATTAATTATTATTTTTATGCAAACAAAATCAAAAAGAGGGAGATTATCTCATGGTCAAGCAATAAATAATTCCATAGTCATCCACTGTCTTTCTCCGTGAAGTACTACAGCAGAAATATACACAGTTTGAGGTGAAATAAAAAGCAGTATTCAAAAAACATTAGCAAATTAAGTCTTATTTCCTTGGTATAAAACCTGATTCCCTCCCCTCTACTGAGGTCTAGGGTGGGGTGCAGAATCTATGTGCAGCAAAGCAGTTTAAAACAAGGTCTTAATACCTCAGGGTAGTGATCTAGGCAGCGTTTATTATAGGAGAGGGAAAACTGCTGGAAGGCTGCAGTAATCCCTGGAAAAATATTTGTCTTTCACAGGGGATTTGCCTTCCAGAATGCCACCGATTTCTACTCCATTCCTGTTACTTTCCAGAAAATATCCTCTATTCCCAGGGACAACTGCAAAAGCAAAAAGGTACTTAGTTCTGCCTCTGTGAACTACACTGACTTGCCAGTATGACAGAGGATGATGTTATGAAGCCTGCCTAGATTGTAGGAACAGCAAATTAGGTTATCAGGAATGAGCAGAGAACTTTCCTGCTTCTCTCTGATCTGACAATTACCTTCCAGCAAACTGTTTATCCTGTGGGATTCTAATATTTACTTTTAGTAAGCCTGAATGTGAAGAGATGCAAATTGTGTCCCTTGCTAACAGGTGGCACAGCTTGAGCTCTCATGAATTTCTGGCAAAAGCAAGTTTACTTAAATACTCCACTGCCAGCTCCTCAGTTTTTTCCATGAGAACTAATAGCTTGAGGGGTGCCTGCTGACAGCAACTGGGATAAATGGGAAGGTGAGAAGCTGCACCCTAGACTTGTCAGGTCTTTTTAAGTGATAATCAGCATTTTGATTGTGTGCCAGAAAGGACTGACAAGCACGCATGGAAAGTGAGAATAACATTCTCATCAGTCCATCCTCTTTAGGTAGGCAGCCAAACAGCATGCCAGCTGAAGCTGCCGAGTGGTTTCAGGGACGACAGCATTATCACAGCTTAGATGAAACAGGCACATGAATCACCGATCACAGGGGATTTTGAGACAATTAGTCACAATTGTTTGACCAAAATTAAAAAACCCACTGCCTCTTTAAAATTTACTTTCAAAAAGGGGGAGAGGGGGAGCATGAGGAATCAAGCTTGCTTATAATACCCTTCTTTTAAGTAATGCATACAAAGGTGGTTTGTGAAGTGACTTGGATGAATCTATCTAGATCAACAGCTTTGTCAGTTCTCAGCTGAAGCAACAGGAGAGTCAAAAAACAAACAAAGCTCATTTCTGCCTCATAACATAGGCACGTGGTACACAGGGCTTTAAAAAAAAAAACAATTCACAAAAGCATGGAACTTTTATTCAGGTTTCGAGATTTCCTTCATTCACTTGGATTATATTGGTTCTCTAGCCACTTCACAGTTTGCAGAGAAGATCTAGGTTTTACACAGGGGTAGGGGTTCTTTCCCCCCACTTCTGACTGATTTTTTTTCTCTTTACAACTGTCTTTGCAATCATCTTTGGAAAGTTAGTCAGATCTTCATTTTCACTTGCCACAAACTAAGCTCACCTTAGGGGTGAGGAAGGAAGGGGCAGTGGTATACACAAAAGTACATCAGCTTTGCATGGCTCCCACTGATCTAGAAAGCGTAATATAAAGCCATCCTAGTACTGCTCTATGCCATCATTTGGCATTAATAACCAACCTGAGCCTTTATAACAGATTGCAACAGCGTAAGATGTTCTAGGATCCCATACCACAACATGCTTGGTTTGTGGAGATGAAGTATGGTGTTGAGCTGCTGATTTATTCCCTTTATGAAAGAGGCTCTTGCAATGCAGTGAAGGATCTGACTCCCAGGATTTGCCAGACTGGTTGAACATAACTTGCATCCACACTATGAACTTATGCTCTTGCACGATCATTTCAATTTGCTATTTTTTTTAAAAAACCATATATATAAGTACCTGTTGTTTGCTGACATACTTTCCAAGCAATTTCTTCAGTTCATACCTTCTGACACTCCAGAGTTTGTAAGTCCAGAAAACTATCTTATTTAGAAGTGACAATTCAGCTGTGGCCTGTAAGCCACACTGTTGCTGTTCTTGTCCTATTGCTGTTTAAACACGCACTACTGCACTCTTACATATGCTGCCTCGGCATCACATTTAACGGGCCTCCATCCACACAGGGAAGTCTTCTTCCCTTTAGTTCAGAAGAAGGAAGGAAGTAGAAAAACGTCACTCACCAACAAGCATGACCACAGCTTCCTCTGCCTTAAGTCTAAAACAACATGCAAAGGCACTACTCTGCCTCAGGACATCAGCTAACACAAGCTCCAGTTTGTAAGGATTCCTAGCACCTCTTCCAGCAAATTCCTTTAAACCTATGCTGTACCTAAAACCCTCTACTCCAAACAGATGTATGGCTTTCATTGATACCTGGAGCACTGTAAATCCAACTTCTGCCAGAGCCAGTAGATCCCCTTGCTATTGACCTTAAATAAATCTGTATTATCTCCACTAAAGCCAAAATACCCAAGCTTTCACCATCCATAACCACTCTGCCTGCTGCACAGAAACCTTGAGGAACGAAGACTTATCAGACTTGTCTGGGCATAAATAACGTAGGGAACTCGAGGAGCTGAGGGGGAGCAAGAAGTAGCAGACTGCTATAAACACAAAAAAAAGACATGTTTAATGCAAATTTCTTTAAATTTCTTAGAATATAGTAAATTTCTGCTGTTTATGCCTGCAAGAAAAAAGCCTTGAAATAGCACATATGTTTCCTTCAACACAAATCAGACAATACACAAAGATACACCAAAACATGTCTCATGATTTTTGAGAGACCTACTCATTTTCAAGTGTTTAGGACTGGCTTTCTGCTGTTCATCTCCCTCTTCTGTGCTGCTATTTTTAAAACATAGCAAGAACAGCAAAAAAAGTTGTGCCCACTAGGTGAGGCATGGCACAGATCTGTGCAAAGAAGCTCCACCAGATTCCTGTTGTTTCCACACAGTGCCAGCTCAGAATCTGTGCACTGACTGGCTGACCCAACAACACAGAGCAATGCAGTACAGAAACCTGGATTGCTCTCCATGTACAAGTGCAGTAAGTCCTTCCGCATATACTAAGCAGGCCACAGCTCTGCCAGCAGAGGTGTGAGGAGGAATTGGGTGGAATTTCTGTGATTCTCCTGTTAAAGCAAGAGTATTATCAGTTTACCCAAGAGAGGCCTGGCTTGGAAAACCACAAAAGCAATAGATAATTCAAACGTTTCTCTTGTAGTAGAAGATGTCTTATAATTAATGGTGTTACTAGTACCTACACATCTCCTAAAATAATTTATTGGTCCAGGGAATATTTTCCTCACACATACAATACAACGCCAGTCAATCAACACCTAGTTTTAAAAAAATTAATCACGTTTTAAAATTTCACTTTAAACATGCCCTATGCACTTCAATAAAATCTTCTCAATACAATCCCCTCGATTCATCCCATGAGTCACACTCATCCTTTCATTTAATCTTACCAATGTTACTACAATCACAAACTACACACCACCACTCTGATGGAACCACATTCTCATAGCTTTTGATCTTGATCAACATTTTACAATCTTCAAGTGAAGATACCAAAGTTATTCCAACTATTTAATGATTCCCCTGACTTCTATTACTTCAGAGAATTAATTCATGTTTTAGAGACAGTCTGTGTAAGATCTTTGCAATATAAATTACTTACTAAAAACTGTCTTTAAATACCACACTTATAGTTCAACTTCCAAACCAACAGACCTCAAGCAAAAACATGGTAAAAGCTGCTGTCAAGTAGCTTCAGATATTTAGATTTAGGAATTTATTTAATAGATCTTACCTGGTGAGGATAGGGACCATGTCTTGCCCACTGCCATGTTCTTTCTCCCATTGCTCAAGCAAAGCAGTGAGCTCAGCCTTGGAGTCCACATGCCCAGATCCTGAAGTCATGGCTTAGCCTAAGGCAGAGGTAACAAGCAAAGAAGAAAAAAAAAAAAAAAAGGCAGAAAAATGAGGAAGAAATCCCACACAGTTTTGCCATTTCATCAAAATAATCTAAATCAAAGATTACAAGGCATTTGGAAGAGGCAAGTAAATACTCAGCAACAAGGAGTGAGAAAGAGATTAAGTGACAGAATGCTGCTGAACTTCACATTAAAAGTTGGAAGTTTCTTTTTGGTCCTTTGCCTGAAGAATAAAGAACATGCGCACACTCCGAACACAAGTCTTAACTGGTGTATGACAACCCTGACCATGATGGGAAGTATGCACACCTAACCACAAGTGTGTTCAGTATTGAAGCTTTTTAAAAGTCTACCTCAACTCCATGAGCAGACCTGAGTTAGTCCTTTGCTGTTGCTCAAGTATTTACTCAAAAAACAACAAAGCTAGGGCAGCAAGATTATGATCAGCGTCATTACTCCAGTTTAACACCCTCCAGACAGCAGTGAAAGTGCCAAGAATTGTATTAGCTTCACACTGCCAAGGAGGCAGAAGGCAGCGGCACTGAGCCACTGTGAGCAGTGGAAGAAGCACCAAAGAGGGGTAGTTGGGAAAGCGAGCAGGTTGCCGCATTGCTACTTGTTCAAGGATTCCAAGAATAGTCAGTGGCTCTAGTAAGGGGGAAGAACGATCACTGGAGGGAGCACTGGAGCAGTTACTTCAGATTTATCAGCCTTTACTTGCAAGACAGCAGCTGACAGAAGATTTATCTTCCCATCCTCAAAAGTGAGATCCCCCTACAGTACTGAGTGAGTTGTTAAGGTACCATTTAAGGAAAGGAACTATCACTCCAGATTTCATCTAAGTCTCTAAATTTCCAGGCGTTGATTTTTGTCAGTCTGATAACAAACTACTAGGAATATTAACAGACCAAACTAGAACACAGTCTGTCTCAAAACACTGCCATGTCCTTAGTTACCAATCTGACAGACTGTGATTGCTGTGAAGAGTTGTAACTTCTGGAGGAAGGAACACCCAATCCCAATTTATAAATTGACCTTGTGGAGATGGGGGGTAGAAATCAAAGCAAAAGAAATTCCTTCATCCAAAAATGCACAAAAGTTTCCAGCATTTCATTAGCCATAACGCAGCCAATATCCATCCGCCATAAGATTAAACATCTATTTGTCATAACTGACCCAGAGAAGGAACTTTCCAAAACAAGGTTAAATACAGATATGTTTAAGACAGCAACATACACATCAACTCCTGAAATACACACTCAGGAATCAGTCAAATGACAGACTATAAAGGGAGCCATAGGTCAACATCGATTACATAAGCATTTATAGCCCAAGTTCATTCTGAAAAACGTTGCCATGCTTAACTGAGTGCTGGATACTTCTAATTGATTCAAAACCTTTTCTCACTCAGGAAACGGATGAACGACCCTGCAGCTTTATCTCCTGTCTCATAGGTGCTTTCGAATTTAACATATTGTGACTAGTTAGTTAACTGGGAGACAGCAAGTGAAGATCACCTGACCAAAGATGAAACTGGCAGAAACTGCCCAAAAATCATCACCCGAAGACTATGGAAAAATAAACCTGTGACTATGAGACACCCAGTCTGAGGAACACCATTTTGATAAGTACTATACAAAGTGAGCGCATGCTAACAAAAAACCTACCTAAGCATAAAGAAAGATGATGTTTTCTAAATGACAAGTAATTATGATTTTATCTAGAGCATTCATTATTCATTCATCGCAGGACTAGACGGGGGAAATTTGATACAAATGCATAAATGGCTTTGGAAAAAACACTACCTAAATGCAGAAAACAAAACATAATGAGATTGTACACAGACACACACACCCCTCCCAAACACTTCTGAAAAGTAAAACTATTCCAAGCTCATAAAGCTCCATCCCCTTTTTCATTAACTGAACAATACTTGCCAGCAGCACTTCTGAGCTTTTAAGTATCACAGATAAACATTCAGACAAATCTACTCTGAGCTTCAGAATGCAAGTGCTGTAACGGTATCTGCATTCAACCATTTCAGACATCTCCACCTTGATTCTATACCCAAGGGATACAGAAAAAAGTGCCTTGTGACCCCAGAGGTTGTATAAGGCCTGTACAGGCTCTCCTGCAATCTGAAGAATAGTTTACTTCCCCTAACAACCCTTAATTATTCCAGGTAGAAAATAAGAAAGGCTTAGCAATACCTGCAACAGGTCAACAAAGTTCCAGTCACGAAAACCACAGGAACTGCTCACATTGCCCTCTGGGACACCCAGCACTATCCCATAACAAAGGGAAAATAGAAAGATCCCAGCTGTCCCTAAAACCCGGAGTATTACCTCACTTAAAGTACATTATAGGTCTAAATAACTGGTGCCGACACACAACTACTTTCCTGAAATAAAGTTAAAACATAAAAACGCCACCCTTTTTATAGGTACACAGCAATGAAAGTAAATGTCTCTCCAAGGCATCTCATCTATTCCAAACACTTATCCCTCCCAACCTATTCAAATAAATTTGACTACTGTACATGGCGTTGCAAAGAGCAGCCACAATAAAAATTACCCCAAAGCATCTACTTCCACAGTTCTCATACCAGTGCTCATTAGGAGTAAAATATATGTGGACGGAATATCACGGCAGGTGAATGACTTCTTAAATACAAGAACCAAAGCAATTGCTACTGTGCTCACTTTTTTCCAAGGATTGCATCTTAAATCAAAGTGAAGAACTCTGCAGAAAGGACAAGATCATAAGCGGGATGAACTAAACCGTCACTGTCAGAAACACACCCAGCCTGTTGGAGAGGAAGGCCTGTGAGAGCAACTCTGACTTTCACTGTTTCCCTTGGACAAGCTGTTGAACAAATTCAATCTTAAATTGCTCTCCAGGAACTAGCAGAACAGGGAGCAGCTATCTCATTGTGGATTTAAATCTGGGGAAGGGGCATGGGATGGAGGGGTAATTTTTTTTAATAAGTGTTGAAAATCATGGCCTACTACAGATTTCACTATATATTATTTTATAATATCTAATAAGATAAGGAATGGAGTATTTTTTCCAAACACCACTATTGTCCAAATATTCATATTTAGAATCAATACAACTGATATAAACAAAGCATAAAGCACTTACTCAAAGGATTTGACTTTGAAACACAAGTATTCACAACGTAACTATCACTCACTGTGAACACTCCCACTGAAAATCCACACATGCATGTTTCAGCACACAGTGGTGCACACGCTATTGCTTTAATATCAAACACTGCTTAGTATTCCAATATCATAGCAAAGGTTTTGTGAGCATTTTACTCTTCTGAACTTAGATGTAAAAATGTGACAGAAAAGGGAAACCCAAAGAAGTATTCAGGCACAAATACCTAAAAGTACTCACATGTTTTTGAAATCTCAGCTACCTTACTGCCTGAGTCACCTTCCTCAGACACCTCTGAACAACGAAGAAATACAAGTCCCACTGACATCTAACTGCAAACCTTGGTAAGTGCAGGCTACAGTTCAAGCAGTTCAGCTTCACCCTTTGGTTCCTTGACATATTTGAGCGTCACACTGACTGCAACACTGTTACAGGTCATTCACTTATTGATTCTGTGTTGTGTTCATGAAAAGGATTATGAGGTTCTGAACTCACTGACTTCAATTACAGATATGCATTTTAAAGTATGAAACCTCCTAGGTGAAAATGATTCTATTAGTAAAATCTGAAAAACAACTATTTGGTTACTTGGGAAACAAGTACAAAATCCATATCTTAACAATTTAAACGGAAAATGAAAGAGCCACATAACAAAAATCAGACCTTGGGGGGGAAAAAAGAATCAATTTTAATCAACTTTGTAGAACGATTGCACATTTAAATTCATGTGGACAAAAATTACAAGACAATTTCCAAATCCACATATGTAGAGCCGACTCAAATTCTAATAACTACACTTTGACCTAGCTTAAATACTCAAGTTTGATATTGTTCCTAAACATGATTCTAAGTATGGCTGAGGACACAATGTAGATGAGAAGCCTAACATAATACTGTAACACCATAAGGGAAAATCAAGAACTCATGAGTTAGAATCTAGTTAAATACTAGCAAGCTGAGTAGTGTATCTGTATATTCTTCCATATTTATGTTCCTTTAAAAAAAAAAAAAAACACTCCCTCTCATCACAGTTATTCTTTAAACAGATGAGATACCAGACAGCTATTTGCCTAAACCTGTTGAGTCTGAAATAACCATGCCAAAGTTAATGCTGAAGCATAACGAACTGTCAACACTGAAGTTCCCTTGTGGAAGAAAGCATGTCACAAGCTAACAAAATCTTCACAATCCACGGAGAATAAAATCATGTTTTGGTATCATACGCGAGTGAAGCTCTGAGGGAAGTCCTCATTTGTTCAACTTCCCATTTTAACCCCTAGCAGGACTCCAGTTTGGCTATTACTACAGAACACGTTCCTAATGTTGCCTTAAATATTTTGTTAAAAATTCATAGTTTTTTATAGTTAGAATATTTTTAAGTCCGAGGAAAACCACGAAGTTACTTAGCTTCCTGGAATTTCTGCTTTTACAAAACAAACCTGCAACTATCTGCTGATCTGCCAGGACAAGCCCAAAAAAAACCAGGAACAAACTTCTGCTGTCTACAAAGGAAGGTAAAAAAGCGACGCTCCGTTTCAACACCAATTCCTCTTTAGGCTGCCAGAAAGAAAAACACGAGGGCCCTACCTCCCCAGAGGAGCACCGAGACCCGACCTGGCCAGGGGAGCGCGCA